CACGAATATCTATCGATTCACCGAGATCAGCATTTTCAGTTTTCTGGGGGGGCTGAAAAGAAAACATATTTTTGGGCTGAAATAAAGGCATCAAATCGCGTCTGCAGAACCTACGTAATACGACGGATACCGATCTATCGTCGTGCGTGATGGAAACCGGCCTGAACCATTTCAAAATTAAGACTTTGGAAGTGAATGAAACTTACTCCAAGTGGCCGCTAGCACGCCACAAACAATTAGCCCCGCAGCGATCGCCAAAAATGTTACTGAAAAAGGTGTTTGAAGAAAGTTTTTACAAGAAGAATGGTGCCGGAGGAGTAGTGACGATGGAATGAGAATTTGGTTTTTACAATCTTACATAACGGCCAGTCTCTATCGATCGGCTTCTTCCAATTTATTGTAGTGATCGGCTGATGATGTGTCAACTGGATAACCAGACTGATAGCGGGATTTCCGAAGGCATCTAGAAGTGCTACCTTCTAGCAAAAAAACTTCTAATTCCTACAGCTTCTTTAGCTTATTAAATTGTTACCCGATTCCTAGTCGACGGTATCCGGTTCCATGGTATGGAGTCGTTGCTGAAAATTCTGGAAATTTTTAGCAGATCTCTAGAATTCTCTTTCTTTTTAATCTGAGCTTTTGCAGCTGAGCTAGGACTTTTCAATGCAAACAAACTGATCCCTAAACAGCTGAAAAATACAAACCTTCAGCTGCATTGGAAAAATTGATCCAGTCAGAGGAAGGAAAAAGAGGATCGAATGGTTTTCTGTTTCCCATATTGCAAGCTAGTCTATTCGAATGATATCTTTTTGATGGCCGTTTGTCATAGCCGGATCCGAAAAGGGACGGAAAAGTGGGGAAAAGCTCAAAACCCAAGAAAAAGTGCCTTTCCAACCTCTAGATCTCAAAATTCCGAATAAAACCCGCCCGAATAAGTTATAGAGTCGTTTAATTATACTTATATTATTATTATAATTAGGCAAGTTTTTTATTTTAACTACATAAGTTTCCTTAAAGCACCGACACTGGATAGCTCATCTTGAGAAAATTCCCACTCAAAATCGACGACATAGGGCGCAAAATAGGGGCGATTTTGTTGCATATGGGCAGGTAGGAAATTTATGGGAACTAGCCAGCATATCAATGCGTAAGCCGAAAAAAAGCGAGGGGGTTGATAAGGTAGCAACATTTTTTCTAGGGGCTGTCCATAGAAAAAAGCTGGAATACAAAAATTTCAGCGCTAAAAAGCCCTCAAAGATTACAAACCTTTCAAGTATATTAAAAAGTAACTACACGATTATACCTTGAAAAGAGCAGGCTAGCAGCAATTTTTGCGGATTTTCGAGCACATTTTAAAAAGCGAAAAGCCCTGACAGAAATAAAACGCATTCTAAAAAATTATATGAATTATAAATAGCTTTTTGAAGAAATCATGAAAAATGTGTTCACTTGGCCGCTAGCCCTTATCAAAATGGCCTCGACTCAAGTGGTCAGCATCTCGTGCTCCGGCCCTTACGCTCAAAACGTAAAAGCCAAAGGGCCCTCGATCGATCTGCTTGGGGATCAAGGGAAATGGGGAGGAGGCCCATGTGTGTGAGAATGGGGAGGAAGATGCTAGTGTGCCGCCTCTCTCTCTCTCTCTCTCTCTCTCGTTCTCGACCAGCTGAGATGACCAGTTTATACGAAATGCTCCTCCTGCCAGTCGCTGACCCCTAAGCTAGACTGGCTCCCAGAAGGATCGTGTTACCCCTCTGGGGCCAGATTTACCAAAGGAAATGAGGCAGCGCGGCGTATTAGTATGTGGTAGTATTTCGGAAGGGAGGTTGGCATCATTTTGAGCTTTTGGTAAAATCGAGAAAATTAGCCTATCATTCTTGTCATAGCCCATTTTCGTCTTTACGTGTCGTAAAGGGTGTATTTGCATTCTCCGTAAAAGCGCCGATTTCCTCAACATGCTCTGCAAGCCCTGGCCTAAAGCAGTCAAAGTAGAACCAATTAGGTTAGGAAATATTTTACCACATTTTGATCTTTTTAATGCCCCAAAAATATTCCTATTGATCGTATAACAATCGTTATTCGTTACTTTTAGAAGGTGGCTTTTACCCTTTCGGGAATTATTGTTTTTCTAAAAAGCATCAAGTTTCCTCAAGAATAAAATATACGAAAATCAAGTGGCGTTTCGTCTGTTTCAAATGGCTTTAAAACTCTTTTGAGTACGTCAATTACAACGATTTTTCAAGGGTTTTCGCCATTTTCCGGATGCGTCCTTTAATCGTTGACGTTTCCGGTTTTCTAAAATGCGCCCCAAATTTCTTAAAATCTAAACAAGGCACATTTTAAGGTAAGAGATACATTTTCTGATTTTTAAACTCAGTACTTTTTGAGAAATTTTTTAACGAGCTGTCACTTTTTGGAAAGCTTCTTTTCGATTGTTTTGCGTGATATCCTTATCCTGCACCCTTCAAAAATTCCAGAACTTTATTATGTACAGTGAAACACGCAAGTAAGAGGGGGACAGCAAAAATAGAGGGGGAGGGGGGATTCCAATCGAATTAAAGATAATAGGAAGACACTCAAAGACAGGAAAGAGGTCAAGGTACACAGACTATGCTTTAAAAACGACTACAAACTAGCATTTTACACCTTTTAAAGAATAAAAATCGTAGAAAGAAGTACGGGGAGAAGAAGAAGCCGGAATTGGTAAAGCTCTGTGCGGAACCCTTGGGCGAAAAAATGTATAAAATGGAAAAATTGGAAAAACTAGGGTAAAGTGCGGGCTAAATAAGGCAGATTTTGGGGGAGAAGCACCGGGATTTCAAGGTTTTGGAGGGGTAAAAAAAAATACAGATTTTATAAAAAGTAGAATTTGTAAAATTCAAAGTACGGTTGCAATTCGCAACATCTCCAGCGGGGGCCCGTTTATTGGCGAGTGGGTTAGGGTTTTTGTAGTTTAGAGGCTACCGTAGACGGGGGCCACTTTTTGACCGCGCTTTTTCACAAATCCGGAGAAGGTGTGCTTGCCGAGGATGTGCTGGATCTCCACGTGGGTTCGGTCCTGGAACAATGAGTTTTTTGAGCGATTTAGCTCCGATTTTTAAAAATTCTAATTGGCCCATTTTTACTTTTTTAAATATTTGCCAATATAATTGTTGAATCAATTCTGAAATGCTTTATTATTTTCGCATTTTCCAACATTTTATGGACTGTTCGGGATCCCCCAGAATTCTAAGAATTTGACAAAAACAAAAATCCCTGCTAGCCTGTCCAAAGCAGACGAAATCAGCGGATCTTTTGCTAAAAAACCTTTACTAGTTTGTTCTAAAACTCTAGTTCTAACCACTGGCCACTCCCAAAGGATTTCTGCTAGCATGCCATGCGAAAATAATGTTCTGAAGTTCAAAAATTTTGTTTGCCAATGTTTTGGGTCAGAAAGCCGTTTTAACGTATGCTTACGTAATAACTTAGGGAAAATCAAAAATTACCTTCGTCTCCGGCAGATACAAAAACAGTATCACGGCCAATATTAAGGCTGGGGCCGAGGAGAGGACGAACATCGACCATGTGCCGATTAAAAGTTCTAACCGCAAGAAGAAGAACGTTGCGAGGGCTGAAAAAAATGGGATAGGATGCATTAGGAGTAAACACAACAATTAAAAATTTATGGATAACTCGAAAACTTACCAGTCGACATTAAGAGCAATCCTGTAGATAAGCTCTGCATGACCGTCATGTAGTGAGGGTGGACAAGCTCCGAGGTGAGGAACCAAGCTGGGGCACCGGCTCCGAGTCCTAAAAGAGGTTTTATTGCACCTTATCAAGCTAATATAAATTATTGGACGAGAAGGACAAGTAAATTGAAATTAGTAAATTAATTTTAGCTTAGACGCAGGCGTAGCTAGGCTTAGGTTAAGCGGCTTTGCCTAGCTTTCTGTTACATTACATACCTATAAACAACTTCGTCGCGGCGAAGCCGAGCGTCACCACCAAGGAATTCGTGCAGAAAATCACTGCCACGGCGTTGGAAATGGCCGAGCCGACGAGGCCGAAAAGTATTAACGGTCTTCTACCGTAGCGGTCGATCTGAAAATATGGATTTTAATAGGTAGCCGGGACGCAGAAATTGTAATTTATCGATTTTCTGAGAAAAACATACCAAAAACGTTCCTGCTATACTGCCAATAACCAGGATTCCACCGAGAATCACTGATATCCGGTCGGCAGAGTCGTCGATGAGATCGCCGTCTTCGGTACCGTTCGTCATTGGGGCTTTCTGGAAAGAGCAGCTTTGATGAGAGAGAGAGAGCGAGAGAGCGAGAGAAAGATACTTCTTCTACTCACATGCAAAATCTGCGCCGAAAATGTGTCTATCAAGTCGTCAGCCGTAAAGGAGTAGCTCATAGCGGCACAGGCTCCAACGAAGAAGCCCTTCCACGTGGCCCATGGGATACCCTCCGGCCTGAAAATAATTCGTACAATTCCAGAAATCGAAAAATTAGCTCACTTCTGGTCATAGGAGTGCTTCGTGGCCTCGGCCGTCTCGTTCTCGACCTCTTTCAGATTTCCCTCTTTTCCGTGGTAGAAGCGGAGGGATGAGAGGACTATATAGGTATCGTTCTCCGGAACTTGAGCTATGGCTTACCACTCGAGATATCCGCCCCATCCTTCAACAGCTGCATCGGCGTCTTTGGCGTGAAAGACAGCACGATGACGTAGAGGAGAGTGGGGAGGAGGGCGGAGATCTGAAATTTTTTAGATAATTTTTTAGACAGTTCGCAAATCAGTATACAAAAATGTTCATTTACCATTCACGGAAACTATTACGCTTGACTTCCTAGCCCCTTTAAGAGTGTAATTCCAAGCTACCGTACCTGCATTACAGTATACCGCCACTCTCCAAGCGGGATGATGGCTTCGGAGCCGATCAGGAGTCCCAACAGTGTGCCGAGCGCTTGGGCGACTTGCTGAAAAACTTGGGTTGCACTTTGTATTTGTAGAATTTTGCCTTCACTTAACCCTTTAAAATCTCCAGGCCACAAATTACACCAAAGGACGCTTGAATAAAGTATGAAGTGTTACCTGGAAGGTATTCAGGAACCCTCGATCCTTCATCGGGCTCACTTCCACGATATAGAGCGGAAGGAGGGAGAGCGAGGTACCGGATTGGCATCCGATCAAAAAGCGGCCAAACACGAGAATCGAGTCGAACATGAATCCGCCTGAAAAGGTGAGAAATTTTTTGGGCTACTGTAAATTCAATGGGTTATGGGTGTGTCAGCTGGAATTGTGGTATTAAATATAAGGTTTCACGATTTGGTTTAACTCATATTAGTGCAGCATTAAACGGCCAATTTGTGGTTATTGAACGTAATTAGTATCGCTTGGATGTCGTAAGTTTTTCTCTACTTCACACAAGTCTTCACACTATCTTACCCATGCCGTGCGGCAACTGCATCGCAAACGAGGTTATCGCTTCTAAAGGGCGATTTAGGGAGATTAAAATATTTGTAATCCACCACTGTAATATACTTTAAGGCCTTCAAATTACGGTACCCAGGTCACCACTTCGAAAACATACCACTATGCACCGCATAAGCCGCGAAGAAGTGCACCAAGCATCCAGCGATTGCGCAGAAGCTCATGCTGATCATCGTCAGCTTGACGCCAATGTGCTCGACGATGAAGGGGACCTTAAAGGAGTTTTTTATTTTGTTAGGATTTTTCAAGTATCTCTGATAGCTTGTCTTTTAGGTTTTCCTAAAAAACGTTTGCGATATTGCCTTTTTATCTCTTGCCCGGTTTTTTGGCGAATATCTGCTGCTGGCTTTCTCAGGCTTTGCCCGGTGTCCTAATGAATCTTTGCTAGCTGGCTTGTTTAGGGCTTGCACGGCTTTCCATAAAAACCACTGCTAGTTTGCCGTTTTAGATTTTCCCGGCTTCCTAAAGAGTCTTTGCAGCCTTGTCTTTTCAGGTGCTGCCCGATTTACTAAAGAGCCTCTGCTAGCTTGCCTTTTAGGCTTGGCCTGGTTATGCAAGGATCTCTGCTAGCTTGTTTTGCTTTAGACTTTGCCCGATTTCGTAGAAAATTTGCTTTTGTAGATTTTCCCAGTTTCCTAAAGAACCACTGCTAGTTTGTCTTTCCAGTTTTTTTCCAGCTTCCTCACGGATTTCTGCTAGTTTGCCTCTTGACTTGGTGATTTTAAAACCTTAAGGTCCCATTTTTTTCGAAGATACTTAACGAATACTTTATTTTCTTTTGCTCGGCCAGATTTTTTAGCAAAAACGTTTTTTGGAACGTCGGGAATCTAAACAAGCTATGGTTGCTCGCTGTGCAGGACCTCGATCGTTTTATCTTTTTACACCCCCGACTAGCGTGCCGTTCCCTATTTTGCGCGCCCAGTCACTATCGGATTTGCCGAATTCGGTTGGTGGACTGTCCCAATTTTTTTTTTTTGGTGTATTGCAGGATGTTCTCTGACTCACTCACCGCGAGGAACCCGACGAGGGTTCCCGGGTAGAAACTGGAGACAATCGTGCTCCATCGCTCTGACCACTCCGCGTTGGGGAGGCGGCAACTGGAACGTAACGGGTTTATTAAAATTAGCGAAAGCAAAGGATCTCTGCCAGTTTCTTATTTTATTTCTAAGTCGTCAAAAAGCACGGGAAATTCCTCAAAACTCCAAAAATTGAAGTCTAATTTTGGAAGGATCCAGGGGGCAGCCCGCACTTTCAAATAATCTTTGCTAGCCTGCCCTTGCCAGGAAAGGCATTTTCGAGAGTGAGTGAGAGCGGGAGAGAGAGCGGGAGAGAGAGTGAGAGACAGAGGTAGAGAGAGCGAGAGAGGAGAGAGGGGGAGAGAGAGTGAAAGAGCGCGAGAGAGACAGCTAGCGAAAAATACCCCATTAATGTCCACCTACCGCACGTCATCCTTAGCGCAGTTGTGTTGCAGTCGGTAGCCCTGGTTGGCGAGGTCGTAGAAGGTTTTCACAGAGGTGTTTACATAGGTGATCTGGAAGTTGCAACTATTTTATTGAGCTTCTCAATAGGTTTTTTCGATTTTTGACGCCTAGGTACACCCTTTGTACTCTTTTCGTGGATCACTAGAAAATTCGAGCAATTTTTGACCGGTACGCTCCCGACGGTCGAGCCGTTCCGGGCGTTTGGGTCGGAAAATTGGGCGCGCGACAAAATTGCTCGTTGTACCGGTGGGTGCAAGGGGATAAAAAGTGCCCTGGTTACAGTAATCAAATAAGAGATATTGTAGTCATTTAAAAGAACCGGCAAGGCATAGTTAGCCATTTTTAGTTATGGATTAAAAGCATGGTGCCCGCGATATGCAACGTCGCTCCTTATCTCGCTTAATTTCACGCGTTGCGTGTCGCGCTAAAATCCACGACCAAAAAAACAGAAATATTTTCCTTGCAAATCCCTTTAAAACGTCTAGAATTTTGGAAAAATGCTCTGAAAATCGCAATCATGTGATCTTTTGGGTCTACGCAGTCTAAGCGACAAATGGCCGCTGCTAATTTGCCCCAAAAACAAAAAATTAATCTACTTGAAACGCGAACTGCCAGTTGGAGCAGAAGGAGATGACGATGGCGAGGAGCAGAAGCCGGGTACTTGAAACCATCCAATACAAATACGGAGGGTGGAGAGCGGTTTGTGGAGAAGGGAAAGGTCCTGGAGCGATCGAGAGCGTCGATGGAGTGTAGCGGAAGGCTGGTAGGTGAGCTCCTGAAAAAGAAGCTCCTATAAACTGCTTGAACGCCTTAAAATCGCCGAAAACATAGTAGAAAGCATCGATTAAGAAAAGTTAAAATCCAAGAAAGCTTAGAAAATAGAAAATATTTATCGTTCTTCCGCTCCTTGGCTGTTCTCTCTCTCATTCGCTTTCTCTCTCTTCTCTCTCTCTCTCTCTCTCTCTCTCTCTCTCTCTCTCTCTCTTCTCTCTCTCCGTCTCTCTCTCTCTCTGCCACTGCCCTAAAATATACGCCGTTCAATCAACCGTTAAATTGGGAAAAGTTTGAAAGTAGCTCGAAAAATATTACTTGCATCCGATTACGGTAAATAAAAAATGAGCCCATTTCCGGAAGCCGTTATTTCTTGACTAGCACCCGAGCTTCAACCCGAAAACAGCGGGAGTCCGGTTCTTACCTGCCGGCACCTTTTTCTGATGAAAACGGGGAGAAACTGCAAAAATTGAGGGAAATGAGATGATTTTGGATGAGAAATGGAGAGGAGTGGATGGTGAGGTGGTTGATCAGGCTGCACCCACCACCAACCAGACCCCAATGAGACAGTTTTTGGGAATTGATGATGGCACAACGGGCGGGGGAGGGAATCGAAGAAGGGAAGGAGAAGTGTGGGTGATGGTCAAGTGCAAGTTGAGTCGTCAATATCGAGTTTAGAGTTTAGTTTAATGAAACATCCTTTTTTTCTAGACCTTTAAAAAGCAAGCGCAAGGTATGACCTTGGATTTTCGGCTAATAGCTAAGCCAAGCTTTCAGCTAATTTTTATAGTACCGTGGAACGCGACGCAGCGCTGCGTCACGTCTTTGCGTTGAGGAATGGTTTATACAGTGCAGGACAGTACTGGTTGCACCGTAAATTTGGTCTATGATCCACTTCTTAAACACGGTATAAAAAGTCTTGCCCAATTAACGAAACACGACGCGGTTTGGACCCACGTGTTACGTGTCGCGGCAAGCCAAAATAGATAGCAACCCGTAGCTAGAAAATTCCATAATAATCACATGCAAAACTTGAAAACCTGCTCAAATTTTTGGCAAAAACGGGAAGGTAGCGTTTCGTTGCTGCCCTCACCAAAAATTTCAAGGAATGATTCAGTTTTACACCCGTTTCTTGGCTATTGATAGCTACTCGGCTTTTCACAGAAGAACATCAATGAAACACTTGCAGAAGTCTTTCAATAAGAAATCGATTTTACGGTGCTGCACTCCTGGGAAAGCGGGGGGTCAGGGACTGATCGAATGAGGATTGAACCTAGTTTTTGAGAAATGAATATCGGTGAACTTAGCACCTAATACGGCATGTACGTAAAAAATGTACGGAAGACCTTTTTCACCTAGAGATTACACTATACGCAGTGTCTTACACATTTTATCGCTTTTGAGCGCCGGATATTCGCTAAATCCTTGAAAGTTCGATAGATGTTGTGTTCGATGGATGCTCGAGTTGTGAAAATAATTCCAGAACGAGCTCATATACCTCCCTAGTAATTTAAACCGAAGTTAAGTTTCCTATGCATTTCTCAAAAATCAGAAACTGAAAAAATCAGACCAGCCAGCCGTTGCCTTAAACAGCTGTTCTGTTAGGAGGTCGTGTTGAAATTTTGCCGAGAAGGTTATTTTTATCAAATTAGTCACAGCCGAGGAAGGCCCGCAAAAACAGATAAATTGTTGAAATTGCGGGGTGATGACGTTAACGTGGGAAAGACATATTGGGAGGTCAGTTTAATTGGATTAGATCTTGAGAGGTCAAAGTGGACTTTGGAAGACGGAATCTTGCGTCAAAACTCATGGAAAATCAGGCAGGCTAGCAGAGATTCTTTGGGAAATAATATAGCAGACGTAAAAAGCACTTTCATATACCGTAGTCCTTTTGCTAGGGCATAAAATCGCGTAAAGAAGATTTTAGCAAGAAAAAACGCCTAAAACAAGATGAGCCCCGTAAAATCCTGAAAAAGTCGTAACTTTAAAAATTTCTAAATCCAAATTTTGCTCAAAAAAGTTATGAAAATGAAGTTTTTTAAGCCAGGACGTTCCTCTGATCGATACGATACATCTAAGGATTCTTAAGAGCCGAAAAGCCGCCAGAAAAAGCCGTTAATCAGGTCAACAGCGTGGTCATGGTGGTGTTCACATGCGCACCGGCCGCTGATTGCTGATGTGAGATGAATCTGTTTGACGCAATTGACCGTGTCTTTCTGGCTCTTTCTCTCTTTCTCTCTCTAACTCTCGCTCTCTCTCGGCTTCTCCGTTACGCTCCTCCTAACACCCGAATGCTGGTGCCGCCCTTAACATGGTGAAAACGATTGGGCGAACCCGAGTGGGTGGGTGCGGCTCATGCCTTTTCCGGACGGGAAAAGATGAAAAAGACAAGGCCTTTTTGACATCCGGAATCCGGATATTGCCAAAAAGGTCATGGAAATTGCATGTGCTCGGTCAGGGAAGTGGAACTCACACCCGGAAGGAGGAGAGTCGGGTAATTCGATTGAACACAGGTGGTTTTTCGGGTTTCAGGGGGTTAAGAAGCGACGGAATCGACCCTGCATAGTGGCTAGGGCTAGACAAAATATGCGACAAATCTCTCGAAGCTGTAGTTTTAGGGTATCTGGTTTAGGGATTTTTCTAAAACCTTTCTTGCTGCCGCCTGAATCTGTCGATACTTAGTAGCCGGAAGGGGTTGGTTTCTGAATTTTAGGCTCTTTAAGACGACTTCATTAACCTATTAAAAAGAAACAATGCGCATTAATAGACCACCATAAAATCCTAAATTCCCATCCAAAAAGATGGCTTTTAAGGGCAACCAAAATGAGACGAAGATCCCCCATTCCTTTCCAGGATTTTTCGGACATTGTCGTCAAAAACAATCCTAGCCACAACAACGACCCGGCCAAAATATAATAGAAAAATATTTAGGTGTTTTTAAAAAAGATTCTGGTTTTTAGAAGCTTATCCGAAAGAGACTAAGGTTCGGAAATTAATCGCTTTTTAGCAAGGAAAAGCTCTGAAAGCATCCCTATCCACCAAAAATTCATAAAAATTCGAAAACTGCGAGATTTTCGAGATTTTTGAACAGATTTCAAAGCTCAGTAAGTTCCTTTAAACAGGATACCGAGTTGATTTATGGGGGCGTACGGAAGTGACAAATGACAAATGGGTTTGACGGGGGTTCGATTTATACCTTCCGAAAATGCACCCGGGCGGTATGGGGCGAATTGGTTAGTCGAGGCTCGATCAGTTATAATTCGGGTCGGACGGCTAGAGAGCGCAAGAGAGAGAGGGAGGGTGAGAGAGAGATAATGAGAGAGAGATAGAGAGAATGAGAGAGATTCTGAACGAATCCCCTTGGAATTCACAACCAAAGGCTTCTACCACGAAAAATACGGTGCTTTACTGGGGGCGAGGCATAGCCCTGACGGTAGCTGTTGGCTGAACTCGGTCGTGCTCCTTCTCTCTATCTCCTTCTCTTTCTCTATCTCTCTCTCAGCCATCCGCCCTCTGAAATCATTGCTGGTCGCGCAAAGTTGGCCGATCGCACCCCCCGGAAAACCCGTGTTATTTTTGGACGGCCAAGACAGACCCGGTGAACTCGGTGAGCAGGACTAGATTCTTGGACTTTCGAGCGGTTTTCCCACGTCATGGGGAAGTATAAAACGGGAAGCAGCTAAAGCATACTGAAAGGATATATCGGCTTCCGGCTTTGTATCTCATTCTCTCCCTCTCTCTCCCTCTCTCTCTCTCTTTCTCTCTCTCTCTCTCTCTCTCTCTCTCTTTGTCTTCATTTCACAAGGCGTTAGATTACGGTAGGCCTGTCTATGCATGGTGATACATTTAGAATTTTTAAAGCTGGTTTTTTACATTTTTTATGAAAAGTTACAAAAATAGCATCGAATCCCCTACCCCCATTAAAGTGCCCTATAAATACGCTAGCAACCCTGAAAACAATCTGAAACAATCGATTTCCTCAGCTATCGCTACCTCCGAATCTTTCAAATCCGCGAAAACGGGCACCCGCGCGCGCGACTCCGGCAAACAACTAAGGACGGTTGAGAGAGAATGAGAGAGAGAGAGAGAGAGAGAGAGAGAGAGAGAGAGAGAGAGAGAGAGAGAGGGGAGAAAGCGAGGCAATAGCGAGCGATCCTGTTTTTATTGGGGGCGAAACAAAGCAGTTCGATTCGTGTCTGCCAATGAGCCCCCTTCCCTTCCATCTCAACACCTCCTCCTCCTCCCCTCAACTCAGCCAAATCATTTTTACTTCTTGAAAGGGGTGGCAATTGTTCCGCGAGGCGTCATTGCTCTCACCTCGACCACCGACCCCGGCTAGAAAAACTGAAACGCCCCGAGGTGTGAGCTGGCAGAGATTTTTGGGGAATCTTTTCGGCACCGACGATGAACTCAAATAGCACTGATCAATTTGAGAGCTCAGCTATCAAACCCGAGCTAGCAGATGGCAGTGAAACAGGGTAAATGAAACATCTGAGTTCGTTTGGGACTCTTTGGCGCATGTTTTATCGATTCCGTTCTTTGGCCATTTGGGATCCATGCTCAAAATTAGCTAAAAATATATATCTTTGGAAATAAAGCGCGGGTTTCGGAATATGATACTTTGGAGGCAAGCTAGCAGAGTTTCTTGGCGCTTTGGCTTGCTGTATCTAGCGTTGATGAAAAAGCTAATTATGCTAGTGAACGCAAAAAAAGCTACATTTACGGAACGCCGAAATTTTTATTATATTAGATTGAAATTAAGATATTTGGAGGTTGACTAGCTTTAAAAATGGTTCAAGGTGATAAGCTAGCAGAGAACATTTACGAGCCACAATTGAAGAATAGACCAAATAACGTTTCCCTCCAGACTTGTCAAAGCAAGCCAGCAGCCTTTCTTTGA